GTCACAAAGCCTTTCAAATATCCTTCAGCAGAGTCTCATGTACATATGTGTGTGTATGCGTGCGCGCAGAAGTTCATTTCTACCTTTGAAGAATCTTGTAAGAATCGTATACACAAATAGAAAATTTGTGGTCGATAGCTGCTATTTTATAGATTCCAATATTCTCAAGGAAAGGGAATCTGTAATTTTGGATTAGCTCTAGCCTTATTAAATTCTCTATGGATCCATATCTGATGTGGCAATTTTTTTAAATTTTTTTTATTAGCAGAGTGTTTTTATTCAAAACTGTCCAAAGTGGATAATCATTAAATTGGTTAAATACTTGTAAACTTGACAGTTAATTTATTTCATTTATGACAAATGAAACATGTTTTCAATTTCTACTCACCGTCTTATATTTCTCAGAATATAAGACTTTTTTGACATTTATTTGGGAAAATCATTTATTTACGCTCATTGCTGGTTGCAAGCTCCATCAGTTCCTTCGGCAACGAAGTTAGAAACGGAACGCTTAAAATACGTACAGACATTCGAAAACAATTTCAAATCTGGTTAATGAAGGCATTGAAATCTATTTTAACACGCTTATCTCTCTAATTCAATTATTTTCAGTTCAGCACTTTGTGACTAGTGCAGTAATTTATAAGAATCTTTTTTGTCGCACTAGTAATTAATAATAAATAAAAATAATAAATAAAATCAAATTATTCTGCGCGTTGTAGTTGAGAATCCATCTCATCCAACTAACTCGTATGGCCGGGCCGTTGAGAACAAAAGCACATATATACGGATATATCAAAAACACAGGATACAATGCATATGCTGTTTATGCCGATATCTGGTAAGAAATCTGTCAATAGTACAGAAAAACTCGCAACTTGCATTTTGTACTTTTGCGGCCGATCAATTGACTCAATGTTTTAAAAACTTTGATCATTAAATTTGGGGTTAATTCATTGGATATCAAATAATATTTGATATAAGAACAAATAAAAACAGCTTATATTTTATTATAATTGTCTATCATTATCTATTTTTATAGTATTATAAATTTTTAATAAAACTATATGAAAATCACTCATTGATAAATACATAGTTGCACACTTAAATGAGTATCTTAGATGGGTTTGTTAGCAGACTTAGGTTTGGCATTTATAAAGCTGATGAGTAATTGGAATTTGAAGAATGTGTCAGAAAGAACTTTTTTATATCCTGCACCCTCAATATGTAGTTTTGATACCTACACAGAGAGGTCTCTTTAATTTATACCCGTATAGCTGCACTTTACCCTTAGTCGAATAATGTGTATTAAGATATAGTATCTAATTTAAGAACGTAAAAATGATCGTTTTTCATCAACTTTGTGTGGAACTAAGAAATACTCTTAGCACTCAAAACAGGTCTGTTTATTTTCAAATTGTAAGCAAATTTGGTGTTTTTGAGTTTCTTATAGTACCTCACCAGAGAGCGAGATCATGAAATATCAGAATAAAATCGCTAACGTTGATGCCACAAAGTTAATTTTTGTAGCAGGGAAAACGGTGGGTAAAGAGTATTCAAGTGTCGGGCTGGCACGACTTTGACGTTCTACTCGTTTCGCTTTATGTTTTCTTGTACATTATATTCAACCAATATTGTGTTTAAGTCAGAAGGCTAGTTATGAATTTTAAAGCTTGAGCAGGTAAGAGGCTCAGCCGACTATAAAGGACAAGCTACTTATAAAATAAAAAAGGCATAGGCATAAGTGCAAATATTTAGTATACATACTTATGATCGAATATAGAAGATATTTCCATACTCACCCTGCAAACCCTAACCCTTGCTAACTAAAACTGAAAGTCTACGCAATCCCATTGTCAAAAGTAAGCTTCGCTGTGCATGTGTGTGTGTGTGTGTGTGTGTGTGTGTTAGTGTGTGTGTGTGTGGGTGTTAGGATAGTGTCTGTTTGTCTGACACATCGTAAGGCAACTTTAAGGGACAACCTCGTCTCAGAAGCAGCTCTGTCCCGACAGTATAAAGTTAATAAATATGCATGAGCTGCAAAGGGTTTCAATTAAATTTACTGAAATTGTGGCTGCCGCTGGGCCCCTTCTACGAGCACGGCCCGACAGGCGACTGCTCCTGCTGCCAACAGCTCGGCTTTTAGTTGCTCTCTGCGTCGGCGAGGTCAAGAATTTGCATGCAAATATTTTTGGCATTTTAACTGCTGGCGAGGCTGTGCTGGGGATGGCGAAGAATTTATTTGTTTTCTGCATTTATTATGAGCGGCGGCAGCGGCCGGAATAAGTTAAACGGAAAATGCGCAAAATTAAGACAAGCAACTAAAGTGTTAAAGTGTCTCATGAATTTAAGACGGAGCCGGCTTTAATATGCGACTAGCGAATATGACGACGTGGACTTGGACGGGCGACTTGCCACGGACGCAGCCCAAATTGGTGCACGCGCACTCACACACGCACACACGCACACAATCGCACGCACAGGACATACACTCGTACATTTTTCTATTGGCAAGGAGCAGAAGTAGAGCTCGGGTTCACAGGCAAACAACGAAAAACATGAAACGTGCGATGCCTGCAAAGGACATTCATTACGTAAGGATGCTGCTGCCACGCCTCCCCTTGCCCGCCTCATATTGAATTATTTCAGTTTTATTTCTTGCCATTTTCTGCCTCACAACGAGCACACAAAGCTGTGGCATGCCCCAAGGCAAGCATTGGCAACATCATCATCATCATCAGCGAGGGGTTGCTGTTGCTGCTGCTTTTGTTTTCAACTGCGGCGACGGCAATGCTTCGCAGACTTGTTGAGCAGGTTATTGAACCAATTCCGTGCAGTTGCTTCACCGCCACCCCGCCACATTACGAACCGTCGAACCCATATGGGTTCGCACAGATTCACATTCTCCAATGACCCGCAACAAAAGTGCAGAAAAATGTTAACAAGATTTTACCGCTGACTCGTATTTCCGTATCAGCCTCAATATTTGCATTCATTTATCTGAATTGTTTAAAATGATCAATCTGGGCTCGCTTATAAATATTCCTACAGAAGCTCATAGAATCGGAATATTTTGTATTTAAATAAAAATAATTGGTGTTCTTCTGTGTTTGTGAAGTTTTTCTGTAGTTAGTTAGTTTCTTATATATTTAAATCGAGGCAATCGTACAAAGAATTATATTTAATTGAGCCCTGAAAAGACATCTAAACTGGGAATTATATATGTGTAATTATAAAGAAATTGGCAGAAACAAAAAGATACTTACATATGTACTTAGAAAAGTACTGAAACTTTTCATTGCATAATACCGCCTAGCAACAATTTGTTTCAATAAATCTATATAGCATATGCTTACAATATTATTAAAATTGATTTTAAAATTTTGGTTTTGGTCATAACAGCTCGCATTATAACTAAATTGCAACAACATTACAACATTTAACATTACAACATTTAAATATTGGTTATGTGACTTTAAGTAAAAAATAAATGTTTATATGTCGCAATTAAACAATTATTTGAAATTTTAAAATACACTTTCCAGTAGTTTTTATTTTTGAAACAATTATTTGACAGCTCCATCTACACAACAAAGTGGCGAAGTTTTAAAACAGCTTCATCTATGAGGTATGTATGAGGGCAGTCCGAAATATTTCTAGCCAGCGATAAAGTCGACCTTTCTACATTAACCAAACTTTGATAATGTGATTAGACACTTTTTAATGTGTCCGCAAAAAGCAACGCGCTGTTGTAAAAGTGCAACAGAGATTCCATAAATTAAGTAGCATATGTGAACAATATTCACTTAGCCTCACTATTACCAGCTTTTATTAATATTTATATTACAAGAACTATAATACGATGCTGTTGCCAATAAAGCCAGTCAAACGAATCATCAATACTCTATCGTTCGTAGGAGCAGCTAGCCGGACAAAGGTCCGTAGTTCCAGCGGTGCCCGATAGGTGCGCTAGTGGAACGCAACAGAAATTTAGAACAATTCCACACACACATTTACTCCACAATCCACATTGTGGTTCTAGTCTACGAAAGTCAGGACACCGTTGTAAAAGTGCAGCAGCGCTTCCATAGATGGCGCACTCAGTATTTGTTGGGGGAACTGCTTTAAGGACCTTTAGTTATCAAAAATAGAGATGAGCCTGGGCCACGTTTTGGTTCGTGATCCATAGTGGCCCTGCGTGCTCGCGTTTCATATTATAGTGACTCAGAAACATAAAAAATCACGCACGAAACAAGAAAAAACTAGAGAGTACCCTACAGTCTGAAAAAAGTCCGACAGTGAAATAACCTGTAAAAAAGTGTAGTAAAAGTTACAAGATTACGTTAGTATTGTGCAAAGTGGACCAATTAATAGACAGAAGAAACCATTTTCGACCCCATAAATATATTCTTTATCGCCAATAGCAGCCGAGTCGATTTAGCCAAGTTTATATGTCAGCTAGATTTCAAAAATTATAAGAACTGGAGACACCAAATTTTGTACATAGACGCATTTTATATATGTATATTGTTTTCTACTGTGTTTAGCATTATATTGAATGTATTGCTCTGTCATGTGATTCCATCTGATCTGGCAAATCTATTGACTCTTATATTCTTGTGAAAAGTGTAGATTGCAAATAGCGAATCGATCCACTGACATGCTGTTATCCCTTGATACATTTGAGTTCTCCAGTGTTTCTCCAGTGCTATGGTATAATTACACTTGTATGTATAGAATGAATTGATACCGAATTCCGAGCGAACTTCCTTGCCCCTGGTTAGTCAGCTCAGCTCTATGACAAACAGAAACTTGGCTGCACCAGTGAATCGATCGGCGCATTGCAAAATAAATTCCGCTCACCCGAAATTGTTTAAGTCCCTGTTTCCCATTCCGTACTAAAATAGAAACAAACTTGTTGCTGTTTTCATCTTCTTTACGCTCTTTGTATTTGTTTTTAAATAGTATGAACTACATTTGAATTATACAATCTAGTTAATCATTAACATTTAGCCCGTAATAGTACACAAATATGCGCATATATTTGTAATTATAGTGTAGTTTAGATTTTTGTATGCATTATGTTTAATATTTTTAGTCGTTCTTTTAAGATTTTTTATTCTCTTGTTTTTTCCTTTTTGCCTAGCAACATTTACATTTTCTAACAATAGACTTCTATGAATTACATTCAATAGGTTTTTAGCTCATAACCAAAAAGTTTGCGTTGCTCTTCATTTTTATTGTTTTTCTTTTAAATTATTTATTAGGAGAAAACTGAAAATTTAATAGACCAGCTACCAGCGGCCCTCAGCTAACTATGTATCGTAGTACTAGAGGAAGTTACGTATTCAATGCGCTCACACGTTGCTCGTGTCTAGCGTAGTTTGAAGATTTCTCTCATTTATTTTAATAGAAAATTTACAATTAAATACATTAGGCATACATTATTACATAATTGTGCTAATTTGTTGTTAAGTTTTGTTTGCTTGGTAATATTTAGTATCATTATATTTACGTTTACGTTTTACGTTTGCTTTTATTCCATAACGTCAAGGGTATTACAATTAATATTTACAAAATGTGACTTATTTGCTACCATTTTATGTTGAATTTTCTTTCAAAGAAAGTGCTCTACTAGTACATATATTTGTTAATTGTTGTTTGTATTTTTTCTTTCTTGCTCTTCTAATTACGTTCGTTACACAATTTTGTATATGTTTTCCTCAAAGAATTTTTCTAATTGTAAGCGCTAATTATTGGTTACTACTTGGTATGTTATTATGCATTTACTTTGCTGTGTATTTCTTCTTTTTTGTTGTGTATATTATACGTATATATGTATGTATGTATGTTTACTTTAAATTAGAAACGACCAGATTTATCCTGCAATGAAAGAGCACGAAAGGCATTATTAGTATTCATTTATGTAAGGCAAATAAGAATGAAGAGTATGGAAAATCACATTAAAACAAACACCGCACTGCACCCAACCTATACTTTCTATTCTATCCTTTCAACTGAACTATTTGAATAAGACTTCAGACTAGTGTGAGACCAAGTCTGGTACAGGGTATAAGAATTGTCATAGATTTGAACGCCAAATCGCTGCCATCAGAGTACGGATGTCAGCTTACATGTTCTTCTTCATCCTTCCAGTCACAAAGAGCTGAACAGTCATTCCAACTAAAACCAAACTAGCACAATGATTTCGTGATAAACACACTGCCTATGAATGTAAAAAGACTTCCAAGTGCCCACTCAGCGGCAGCCCAGTAGTTTAAGCCGCCATTCACACTTTATTAAAATACAATCCGCATCAGCATAGAGCTGTGAATAGGGAAGTGGTGTTGGTGGCCCAATGCCAGTTGTTGGCCAATGCTGGCTAATTTATTCACTTAGCCACTTGACACTTGGTGGCAGCAGCAGGAGGAGGAGAAGGAGGAGGTGGAGGAGCAGCGATTTTGGCTACCCCTGCTGACTGACTAGATGTCTGCTTGGCTGGCGTCAAAATATTCATAAGCGATAAGCAAATGTCAAAGATCGTTTGGTCGCCCTCGCAACGGCCCAGGCCTACGCTGTCTCACATGGCTGGCAATTTGTATGCAAAAATTTCAAGCAGCAACGCAAAAATGTAGCCATAAAAAAAAAATATCTTTGACTCGAACATTTAAAATAAGATTTTTAGCTTCTCGCTGGCGCGCGGCTGTGAACATAACAATAAATTTGAGAACAAATTGTTGAGCATAAAAATCAAGGCTCGGCGCTTATCTTTTCTGCTTCTTTTTTTCCATTTTATTAGTTACAGCTTAAAATATAGTTCACGCACAATTTTTACGGCCCACTCGTCCCCCACCCCCCCCCCCCCCCACGCTCTCTTGAGGGCTGCAATTGAATTTTATTGCCGTCAAGTGAGCGAGCAAAAAGTCATTGCATACTTATGGGCGCGCATTTACGCGCTGTCACGTCATTTTATTGCTGTCCTCAGGCTCAGGCATCAAAATGCCAGCGTGTGTGTGAGTGTATGAGTGTGAGTGTATGAGTGTGAGTGTGTGTGTGATTAGTTGGCAGCATCCGAACTCGCACCCGCGGCAATATTTGCACAGCATTTACGGCCCAGTTGCGTTTTTCGCTTCAAATCGCGCATACATTTTGCAAAAGGCCCGCATGTTTGCTCAGCCACTTGGCAAGCGCATTTAGCCTTAAGTTTGTCACTTTTGCTCCTGTTTTACACTTTATTACAAGCCCATCACCGTGCGGCATCTCAGCAACTGTTTGCTTTATTACTTACAAGTATAACACACACACACACACATAGAGAGAGACAGAGAGACACTCGCATACGTATGGGTGCCACATTATTTTGCTTTGTGGCATCAAGTCTGTCCATGCAACAAGTGCTTAAGTCGCAACACTTTGCTGATCCCGTCCCTGCTGCAGGCAACACACACACACACACACTCACTCACCAACTGAGACAAACACACATAAATCCTTGAGAACTTTAAGCTGCTTGTGCAGAATGTGATTCAATGTGCATGCACTCAGAGAAAAAGTGATGTGAATGCTTCGAGTTCATGTGACTCGAGCTGGGAAATGCAGAGTATCGAAGCTATTGAACATCGATTGGAACTAAAAGCGGAACTATGCAGAGAAACAAAGATAGTTGTTGGCCAATTTATATTGTTAAGTCGAGTTCTTCTATTAAAATAATTAGAGGCTTGCATTTAGTTAATAAACGACCACAATTTAAAAAGCGATTCCACCTGAAAACAGCTATGAAAACAACAAATCGTGCACAGAACACTTTTTGCTTCGAAATAGAAATAATCTATTCTTCTGACCATTTGTCAAGTTTGGATTTAACAGTCTTCTTAGTTAATTGTAACAACTTTAACACATTTTGTAGTCTCCCCAATCTTTTCAACTTTGGATTTAACAGTCTCCTTAGTTAATTGTAAGACCTTTAACACACTTTATAGTCTCCCCAATCTTTTCAACTTTGGAATTAACAGTCTTCTTAGTTAATGGTAACAACTTTAACACACTTTGAAGTGTCTCCAATCTTTGGATTTAACAGTCTTCTTAGTTAATTGTAACAACTTTTACGCACTTTGAAGTGTCTCCAATCTTTGGATTTAACAGTCTTCTTAGTTAATTGTAAGAACTTTAACACACTTTGAAATCTCCCCAATCTTTTCAACTTTGGATTTAACAGTCTCCTTAGTTAATTGCAACAACTTTTACGCACTTTTCACATGAAGGCTACCCCCAACTTTGCTGAGTGTAATTCGCTTGTCATATCCTTTCGATTCCTGCTGCTCCTGCTATTGTTTTCCGGCACTCTGTGGCTGTCGTTCGTTCGTTCGTTTGCTCGGCTCTTTTGTTGGGTTGCACGTTGTCTGCACCCAGAACGACCTCGACATCGCTCGAGCTAAGTGAGTGTAAATGCGGTTTGCTGTTGTAATGACAAGTGCCCCACACCTTGGAGCTCTGCTGCCCCCTCCTCCGCCTTCCACTTGAGCAGCTTGCTCGTGTGTCCTTTTATGATTCATTCCCGCTGCTCGCTGACAGCTTAAATATTATTAAATTGCAGACAATTTGCGCTTTAAGTGACAAATTGATTTGCTTGCCTTCTTGCCGCAAACGATAATTAAATTTTCATCGAATGCAGCGCCCAATTAGGCGTCATTGCTGACACTTTGACGGGTGATGGGGCGAACAAACCTGAGCAAACTTTTGCAAACACAAGCGGTACAGTCAGTCGGCCGTCTTGATGGTTGGCCCCCTTGCTGGCCCCCGGGGGCATACTTTGTTACCCAACTCAATTTATTCATTGAGTCGAAAGCCTGTGGCATTTTTACTTATTAATGCTGTGCGGCTGCATTAAGATTTAATCAAATAGTCCTCGGGAGCTCCCCAGGAAGGTGGCCAAAACTTGTCGCAACTTGGCTGAATTATTCAGCAAGTTGTGGGCAAGTTTCAACACCTCGCACCAAAATTTCGACCAGCAAGGGAACAAGGAGAATTCGGTCCAAAACTTTAAGACAACGTGACGACCTTGTTGCCAAGAAGAAGTCCAGATGGAGGTGTGGACGCCCCTGGCAACAGGCTTTGTTGCTTTTGTCAAAAAAAAAAAAAAAAGAAAAAAGAAAGCAGAAAAAAGAAACATCCGCGGTTTGTTGCTTTTTTCTACTTCTGCTACTTTGCGCTACTTTTGATATAATAAATTGCCCGAAAATGCTTTTGTGTTTCACGCGCTCGCATTTTTTTCCCTTCTCGCTGGTTGCCTGGCAGCCCCCCAGCCCCAGCCCCCAATCCGCAGCCCCCACTCGCAGATCCCATAATTTGCCGCCATTGAGTTGAATTTATTACGAGTATGTGTCAATATGCGGCGCCTGCTGATGAAGTTGCAAATTGTGATTTCCTGCCGTCAGTTTATAGCGTCAGTTTATAGACTGGCTCGTCTTCTCAGCCGGTTGCTGGCAGCTGTTGGCTGAACTTTGGCATTTATTGACATGTGTCGCGTTCAGCTTATTAGACGACACGAGTCAGCCAGCAGCCGACAATGCAGTCGTGGCATCAACATCTCTTCAAGCAACTGCCACACTTCTTATTAAATATGCAACAGCCAGAACCGCCGTCTTAAAGCGCATTAGCATAATAACAAAGCGAATAGAATGGAAGAGAAGAGAATTTTTGCCTGTCACTCCGAGAAATTATGAACAAAAAAATATGAGAAAAAGGAAAATGTAAATCCGCCCGCTACTGCAATTCAAATTATTCACTCAAATGAAGCGGCAGCGTGCGGCAAACACAAAAGTTTGCACTTTGGCATAAATTGCGAGCCTCCCATCCACATTCCAGATTTTATTTTATTAGCACGTCACACGATTGGCGCCAAACTTACGAAAGTTACAACTTTGTCTTTCTCGTCTTGGCGGCGACTTCCTCTCGCTAACAACAACAACAACAAAAGCAATTGAAACAAGTCCTGGCATTGTATTTAGAGGATTTTTTCTGGTCGCTTTGCTGTTTTCTAATTGTTGGCTTACAAACTTAATGTGGAATTCAATTTGTGCGTGCGCTGGAAAGGGCATTGAAAACTTTTTCTCCTGGCACTTCTTTCTGGCAAACCAAGCCCCCCCATTGAAAAAAGTTTGGCACAAAGCAAAAATGCACACTGACAGTTTTTCTGACATTGAAATAAAGTTGAGAAAAAAGTTAAATGAAGTCAAGAGAAATAGGCAGGACTCGTGCTTGCAGCGGGCTTTCTTTTGGTCCCAGAAGAGTGGACATGCTCTTCAAATACTTAAATTCCCCTGAAAATTATAGTAGGTTTCGGGCCTTACAAATACTTTTAATAAATAAGTGACCAACTTGAAACGAGAAGTGACACATTGGCTTTTTTGATCCGTAAATAAATGAACTTGCACTCTCTAAAAAAAGGGCTAGAATTCCATAGGCAATTGATTCTAAAAAAAATAAATTTTATACTCTACACTTGTAGGGAAAAAGGGTATATTGGATTTGTGCAAAGTATGTTACAGGTAGAAGGAAGAATCTCCGAGCCCATAACGTAAATGTATACACCTAATTCTGTTTTTACACGGTAGATTGGTTCCGATAGAAGTCGTGTAAAAAAAACCGGGTAAAAAAAAGATATTGATCATATGCAAAAGAAATCGTGCTAAATGGAATAAAGTCGCGAAACCATATAATAATATTTTTACTTTTCAAACCATGTAAAAAAGACCGTGTAAAAACAGAATTAGATGTACAAATATATATTCCTAATCCGAATCTATATAGCCATGTCTGTTTGTCCGACCGTCTAATATTTCTTATATCTATTCTTCTTTTCGGCATATACTTTATTATATACGCTTCAGCCTTTGAAACTAGTCCTTTCTCAATTCAGTTCTTGCTCTGTTAGAGAATCCACATTTTCTTTCTTAGAGAATTCAAGTTTCAAGTCTCAAGTCTGTTTTTGCTATTAATTGATTCTTAGATGCTCTCCACCCTAATGCTACTTCAAAGCCAGGCAATATGCTCTTCATATGTCAGGTGTCCTTTTTGTATTCGAATTTTCAGTTCACGATTTCTTAAAATATTATTACAGTTTCTATGATCCAGCTGCTTAAAGTTAAAAGGAGAATTATTCAATTGAGAGTAAATCGTTGCAGTTGGAAATCGAAATCAGCTCGGAATCAAAGCTGTTCAGTGGAAAGTGAAGAAGTACATTGCTAAACTAATAGATACAACGAGATACATTGACATACAGGATGCATTCTAAAGTAAGGAGGACTTTTCTTTAAATATCCGCTTCTAGTGGCCTAACATTTTATTGGGAGTTATCGGCCTTCACTGTGTTTCTACTAACGGTACCAAAATGCTATTCGAAAGGCTTATACCACCATTCTGAAGGACATTCCTAAAACACTTTTTCTTAAAATATTATTACAGTTTCTATGATCCAGCTGCTTAAAGTTAAAAGGAGAATTATTCAATTGAGAGTAAATCGTTGCAGTTGGAAATCGAAATCAGCTCGGAATCAAAGCTGTTCAGTGGAAAGTGAAGAAGTACATTGCTAAACTAATAGATACAACTAGATACATTGACATACAGGATGCATTCTAAAGTAAGGAGGACTTTTCTTTAAATATCCGCTTCTAGTGGCCTAACATTTTATTGGGAGTTATCGGCCTTCACTGTGTTTCTACTAACGGTACCAAAATGCTATTCGAAAGGCTTATACCACCATTCTGAAGGACATTCCTAAAACACTTTTTCGTAATGCTTCCTGATCATGCAAAACGACCTATTGAATCGGTAAAGGTGATTATTTGGAATAAAGTAATCCTTTTCGCCAAAACATCAATTCTCTGTTCTTATTTTTCGAAAGTCTTGAATATAAATAATTAATCAGAATAAAATTAATTTCCATTCGAATTACAAGAAAATGAACACTTTTATTTAGGGTTTGAAGATTTCAAAATATTTTCAACAATAATTCCTATACCGCCCTTATGGGCTACCAAAAACGAAACATTCCATTGATGCCTTCGCTAACACAATACTAAGAGCTTGACTCGACAAGGTCCTTTCAACGAAAAGGTTGCAAAGCGTGAAATCTCGGCCATCACTCAAGTAAAGAAGATCATGTGAACGAAATCTGTTTGGTAATTTTTCAATATTAGCGACGTTTAACACGCTTGATTTGGCGGGCGGCGGACGGCGGACGACGGGCAGGTAAATAGCAGCGCTTAGCTCAGCCCGTCAGTAGCCACAACAACAACAACTCCAACTACTATACGGTCGAGAGCGCATAAGTCACCCTAAGGACGTAATTAATTTTTCAGCAGTTGCTTTGCCGTGCCTCGATGGTCAGCACGCGCTGGAGACTACACTTATTTGGGAGGGTTGGTTGCCTTGACGAATTTTCGCCGTGGTCGAAGGGAACGGCCTCGGGGGCGCTTTTCAAACCAAATTAGCGCGGCCATTACAGCGGCAAGGACGAGGAACACTTGACTGCCGGCCAGCCAGCCTGCCGGGCTGCTACCTGTCGCTGCTTCGAGCTCTTTGCATATTTTATGGCTTACGTAAATTTATTTAATTTTGTATAATTTGGCGCTTTAAAGCAAATTGCCGTAAATTGAAAACGACTTAAAGCCCTGTCCGCTTTTCACTCTCCCATCCCGCCAAATATCCTACTTGACAATGTATTATGATAATTGAACGCGTGTAATTGCCCCAAAGTAGCTGCCAGACGAAAAAACGCCGAGCACTGGCATAAAAATAAAATCAAAACAGTAGAATAAAAAACAAAAATTGAGGCACAGAATAACGTCATAAAAGATTCATAGCGACGTCATGGTACAAAACGCGACGCAAGTAAAATGAAGTGAAATAAGACGATTTGTATACGATATGCCATAAACAGGAGAGGGGAGAGCATAAGGCAGAAAATCAAAGTCAAACGTAATTCGGGTTGGTGGTGAAGATGCTCCTTTACTCGATGGTGTGCCGTTTGTTCATTTATTGTAAGGGGGCGGAAAATATGTTTGATTTATATGTATAGTATTTCAGAAGAAATGCACTTGAAAATAGAAGGCTCCTAATATTAGAAACATTTTATTTCACAAAACAGAAATGTGAAAATATCTCATTAGCATTGCACAAAACTAATACTCTTTGGCCTTCAGGTATAAGGTATAGAAAATCTTCCATCACATTGCGTCAAGAAGTCATGTTCAAGATACTTGTACTTGTTATTGAAAATCAGGAGATCAGGAGAGAAAATGGTTTTTTAGTAAAACATCTGAATAGTTGAGCTCAAAACGTGATGTTAATAAGAATTGCAATTGAGAGTTCGTTAGAAAAGTAGAAGCAACAAAACGTTTAATTTAAAGAAATACTTATAATGATATCAAAACTATCTGTAGCTGAGCAAGAAAAGAAAAAGAAAAAGAAAATTATTAGGTGGTCTTTAAATTTGTCAATTTGTAACTATTTACAATTTTAATTTAGTTTTCCACTTAATAATATTTATTGCCTTCTCAACTTCCTTTATTCCTCTACGTCATCTCTTCAAAATACCATCATGAAACTAGTCTGTTATAAGATATTCTTGCAGTAGATTCATAGATTTCTATGCTGACATTTTTAAGAAGAGTTAATTATTTAAGTTTCTTCAATTACTTGGTTCTTTAAATATGTGAGAACTATTTTTGTCTTTGTACTTTGAAAAAGTCTCTTTCATTTTCGAAACAAGCCGGATGCGAGTTTGGCACCAATTTTAAATAATTAGTTTAGAAAATAATAAACCAACTATGAATCTACGGCTATAAATCATTAGTTTTTTTTATTTATATCGCAAAATTGGATGCTTTTTTGGTCGGAGTGGCGTGGCGTGTACTTCTAAAGCCACCCTCGCGGCCTCAGCATTGACTGAGCCAACTGGCCAGGCAGACGACTCTCTCTCTCCCTCTGTCTCTGTGGCCGTCGCCACATCTTACTTGTACATATTCATAAATTGCGCCGCATGCACTGTGAAATTACATTATTAACATAATTTATGCATAAGTGTCACATTGAATGCCTTTTAAAATGATGAAAATTGAAAAGGACTTGGGCATACTCTTAAGACTGGAGGCTGTGGACTGACTGTAGAAGGGGGCAGAGGCAGATGAATGGGGACCGAGGGCTATCCACAGATTTGAGTACTTACTTTGTAAACTGTAGTGGCGGCCAGCTGCTGCTTCCGCTCCTGCTCTTGCTCTTGCTCTTGATGCTGCTGCCGCTGCTCCCGCTCGGCTTGCTTAAATTTTACACTATTGTCCTTAGATTTAGTCCTTGCCCTGGTGGCTTAAATGTTCGAAGCGTTTCAACGACGACAATGACAAATTAACAAATACAAGTACAACAAAGCTGCAAGCGTAGTAACTGAACACAAACACACTCGTTCCCTGGCTCCTAGAGGCGACTCTAATGTACCCAGGATGGCGGTGAGGTGACAACACTGGGCTGTGAATATTGCACTACGCGTGCCGCATTCAGATTTGTGCTCTGCGTTTGTGCCGACAGCTCCAAGCTGTTGTTGTTGTTGTTCAGCAACACCTGTTGCTGTTGTTGTTGATGTTGTTGCTGTTGTTGTTGTTGCAACAACTGATTCAACTGTGCAGCGCTGCTGCTGCCGCTACTGACGGCTGTAGCCAGGGCTGGATTAAGCGTTGTGCTCGTTGTTGTTGTACTATTGTTGGCTAAGATCACATTTGGAGCGGGCACCGTGGCCAGCGGTATGTTGATGTCCAGCAAGCCGTCATAGTTCATCTCCTGTTGCAGCAGCTGAAGTAGGATTAAGACGGCTGATTAGCAAAGATCGACAAATAATGGCAAACATGGCAATCTTACCTCCTCCACATTGCACTCGAGGCCGCCTTGGAAGTTCTCCAAATTAAATTCGTCAATTTGTTGCGCCTCGTTGTTTAATGCTTCCAGGCATTGTCCTATCAAAGTAGAGGCGCAGTTATTATCTAAAGGTGCAGTTGCAGCGGTAGGGGGAATAGGAAAGAGAGAGAGAGAGAGAGAGAGACAGAGACACGTGGAGTGTGAGAGCGAGTGTGAGTGTTGAATTCGTGTGCTTTACTTAGGAATAGGAGAAAGCAGACAGATCTCTGAGCAATCTAATAGAAGATTGAAAGAAAGCGCTACTACACTGATAAAAAAAACCACGGAAATTTCAATATTTACACGTAGATTTAACTATTTTTACCATCGATTTTGCACCAACGAGTGTATGCACACTTAAATTTTAAATTTCATATTAAAATATTAAAATTAAAGTGTGAGGATATTAAATCACAAGTGATGTTGTAGAGACGTGGTTTATTTTTTATAATTATAAAATATTTATTCCACTTTTCTGTTTTTTTTTTCAACTCTTTTCATTTCCATGATGCTCATTTTATTTCTATATATTTTTTTTTCTCTATAGACCCATTTTTAGCAGAAAATAATTTTAAAATTCTTTTGTTATTATGATATGATTTACTTTTCTTGATTTTTTTATTCCTTTTAGTACGGATATAGTTTGGATCAATATTAATATTAAAAGCGAGGAGCAGCTGATTGAATAGCATTTACTTGACACATATCTAATGACCACACAACCGCTGAAAACCGACTTGAGATTCTAGTCAATTTAAATTTAATATATTTCTAGTATATTAACCATATTAAATGGTTCAACATTTAATTGAATATGACACACTTTAATAATGAAGTTTTACACTTTGTTTTAAATATTATTCATATTAAAATCACTAATTGCATATGTTTTTTGTAAAATTTACGATGTTTATATTTGATTTGAATATGAAATAGTAGAACATTAAATTTAATATGAAAATATTAATCTGTACTATGCAACTTTTTTATCAGTGTATATATAAAATGCTGACTTTCGCACTAAATTTCATTCACCTTCCGATAAGCTGGGAACTATTCGCACTTGTTGCTCAGTACATGTATAGTATTTGATGTATTTAAGGATTTTTATTTGTGCAATACTCCTTTGACACTTACCTTCTAAATTTGAGCTGAGCTGCTGCTGCTGCTGAGACTGTTGCTGCTGCTGCTGCTGCTGCACCAAGAGAACGCCATTGTCCGCTGCTAAGCTGTTCGTGCCATCTAGGACGACATTGCTGTAGGTGTTGAGCGAGTCCGAGGAGGGTTCGCTGTTGGGATACGCGGGCGACATTGTAGTGGTGACTGAGTTTGGCGACAGGCCCTGCGAAGAAGCACAAGCAGTTAGTGACGAACAAGTCTAGGGTCCAGAACCCATCCCACACTCACATCTCGGGCATTGTGCAGACAATTACAGTTGAGCGAGCGGTGCAGTAAACACTGCTGCTGTTGTTGTTGGGTCTGGGGAAGCAGGCCGCCGTAGCCCTGTGCATTTACTGGCCCATTGAGCGTGTAGCCCTGTTGCAGTTGTTGCTGCTGCTGCTGCTGCGGCGGCTGATACGGTGGCGGGGGCTGTGTGGGTATGCCCGAGGCGGCACTGAATCTGCTCCAGCCGTACGATCGTTTGGTTGCAAGAACGAGAAAATATGTTGACTTTATAGAAATGTCTTGCATGGCTGGCTAACCACAAACTAATCATGGCATGCAAAGCTCGTGCGTTTGTGCGTGTGTCTGCATGCAGCAACGCAAAAATAAAAACAAACCAAAAACAAAAACCGCTAACATCAAACAATTGGGGAGGGTGGGGGTCTTAAAAAGAAAACATAAAACACGCAACACAACTGACCCTTGCTGTTGCAACATGTCGTGCAATTTCAACTCATCCGCCATCGAGCCCGCCAGCTGGTCCAGTGCTTTGGCCTGCGCCTGCGTCATCTGGTTGGGATAGTCGACCGGGAAGCCCCATTCGGGCTCGAGATCCAGCGCGCGTATGGGACTGAGGCGTCCACAGGAACTGGCATTAGATGAAGCGCGTTGACGAAAGTCCGGCGACAATTGAAAGCCGCCGCTGCGCAACGCAAATGAAAAGAAAAACGCAAAAATAATGCAAAAATTAGGAAATTATATCAAACCAATAAACGCTTAAAACAAATAAACCTTAAAGTGTTCAAGTTTATTAAAAAACAAAAGCTTTAGATATGTCTAGAGTTTTTGCAAGTAAACTAGTATACGAGAAAGTAAAAGGCCAAAGCAATGGCTAAGTTCCCTTTTTAAAACTTGCATGCTCAACCTATTTTTGAAATTGCAATTTTGTAATTAGTTAAGGTTAAAATATGTATTTTACTTGTGTAGTTTAAGTATAGCAACAATTAAAAGCTGAACTCACACAGCTGAGCGATTTTTAAGCATTTTTTTTAGTGAGACATACATTTAGAAAGGGTATTGCTATAAACAATCATTAAATAGCATTCAGAAATATCCTGAATAATTATAGTATGTGTGAGTTGCAGCTTTAGTTGTAAATAATAATAATCAAGCAATTCTTGAAGGCATGCTAATAATATGTTGCATTAATTTAGATAAACCTATTTCTAAATAATTATATATTTAATTTTGAACAAAACATAATACATTTGTTGACCCAAAAAAGTATGCTATACGAATTATACAGTTATTTTCCCTAAAAGAAACGCAATGGTCAGCTGCTGAACTATTGTACGCTTGCTTTAAATATATTAATAAATATTATCCATCATGTCATCACATATTCCTTATTCTTATAAGTTATGAGAATTTTCTAAGACTGGTATTACTATAGATAGAAGGCAATATATACGATAGAAAGTTGGCTTTGAACCTAATGAAATAATGAATACTGCCCGCCATATGCTATTATGTCGCTGTTGGGGGCCAGGAATAACTAAAAGCACTTGGTAAGTTTTTCAAAGCCATCATCTTCATGCCGTCTTTTATCTAGTACGTATTATCTATTACGTAGATACCAAATGCTTTCAATAACTATTGTCAGATGGCTACTAATCTCTTATCTCAGTGGGCATACTTAAAATTAAGTTACTGCTTTTATCTCTCATGCACTATATTTAACATTTGACAGAGTCTATAGTCGTGATCTAAAAAGTTGCCTTTCCCATGACAAACAGCTTGTTCTCTGGCTACAAGAAGTAAATACTCATGCCTGTTTAGTTAAAGCCTTTAATTCTTCTTCGAATTCGAATTTTATTAAAATTTTATAAAACTTGCATACTAACTTTGATAGTATTCTACAAAATTTAAATAACTAAGTGCTCTCTACTAAGATTAGTTACTTTTCTACTAAAAAAAAACTACTTTTGAATTTACTTTAAATAATATTGTTGGACAAGCTGGCGAGTTAATAGTTACCTGTGCAGTGGACTCTCAGGAAAATGATCAAGACCCTCGCTAACGCTGCTGCTGGGCGAGGGCGTGGCATCATTGAGGCCCACCGCGCCAGCCTGACGCAGAGCCTCGACGCGTTTTTTGGCCCGTCCTCGGCGCTTCTCATAGCGTGAGGTTTCCATGGAGGCGGCGCGACGACGTACCGATTTGCCAGGCTTGGCTTCTGGGTTCAACATCCACCAGGACGATTTGCCGGTACCTTCGTTCTGTACGCGCATAAAGCGATTGTGGAGCGACAGATTGTGACGTATGGAGTTCTGTAAAGAAAACGAAGGCGAAAATGTGGCAATTAAAGAAATGTGAATGTGGAAAATTGTTGCGCATTTTTATCACCACATCGCGTATACCCGTATACTCAAACGAGCAGTATGATATTCTTTTTTGCAAAATTTGCAAATTCCGCTGGGAGTGTGTGCGCGTGTGGGTGTGGGTGTGGGCATGGGTTAAGATGTTTCCCAGAGCTCTAGTTGTAAGACAACGACAACGTTGTCGCTGATGTAACAATTTGTAAGCAATTGCTAGAACTTCCTGCGGTTGCTTGCGCTGCGTTTCCTTGCCATAGATTCAGACCGTGAGTTGCCATTCAATTGTCTGTCGACATTTTTATGGTTTTTAGAGAGCGCCCGTAAGTAGACAACAGACGACTCTGCACACAACTTAGATACGCACACACACAAACATATACTGGCAAATATACGAGCTCTGCATGCGCACACACTAATTGGAAGTTGTCTTCGCCTTGTCGTTGTCGTCGTCGTCGTCGTCGTCGTCGTCGTCTTCGTTGTCGTCGTTGTCGACTGCCGTCGTTTAAGCTGTCAATTCATATTTTATAACAATAGTCATAAATATCGTGTCCCATGTAATGACAGCCAAGCGACAGGCAGCGAGTAGGGGAGGAGCGAATTCATTTGGTGTGCTTTGAAGGTAAGCCAACAACAATTACGCACCGCCGCCAAACAAAAAACAATCAAACACGTTTAGTGGCATTTGTCATCAGGTTTAAAACAACAAAAAAAAAAAGACGGATAAAAAGGATGGAGCAAGCGAAGCCAAATGGAGCATTTCAAACTAAACTAACCGGTTGGTAAATGCCAAAGCTACCCCTTCCCTACAACTAAACCCCAAAAACCAGAGCCAACAAAACGACAACGACGACGCGACTCCAGTCGACATGTTGCGGCACATTGGCGCCATTTATCACCGTTGCCGGTACACACTCGCACACTCACTCACACACACACACACACACACAAGCATGTTTTTGGCTCATCTATTCACATCCGCATCTATATACGTATCTACGTGTTACTATAGCACCCACACAACGTGCCACCCGAACCTGTGCGGAGCACCGGCATCAACCGCCACACAGTGGACAGAACAGACAAGAGTAGACTTAGAATTTAAGTCTTATTTTGCTTTTTGCATCATTTCATGATTAATTTGTTCAGCATTTCATTTATGGGTTTATCTCTTTGAACCAACTCTTGTAAACAGAAAGCTTTAAAGATGAGATGTATATTTGCCTAGGCTAGCACAATTTAGATCGACTCTCAACTGTGATATCCAAGTAGTTATTTGTTTGCCTTGATGGCCAAAGGCCAGGATCACTAACCAGTCAACCATCAAGTATCTGTTTTAAATAAATCCGCCAGAAAGTGTGTTTTGTTTAGCAGCAAATTTACACGTCTAATCAATCAACATTTTCCCGTAGCTTACTCATATTTTGTAGTGTTTGCTAAGATTTTTACATACAAATCTTGAAATTATGTTCACTGTGCGCCGCCGTGTGCTACGTCGCCGACGCCATGGCAGACTTCCTAATACTTTTTTGTCAGTCGAAAACTTTTACTTGGCGTCAGTGTTACTGTTGCTCATCGCCAGCACAGACGACATCGTCGTCCCTATAGTCGTAGTCCTTGCCATCGTCCTATAATGACATTTCGGTTTTAGCCCACGCACATTTTACCCCTTCAGCTGTCGTCTTCCTCCCCGTGTGCCACACACATAAAGTTATCATTTTTATTTAAATGTTTAAGTGCACCCACCGCTCATGGCTCGACGGCACACTTACTTACTACATGTGTGGCAAGGAGTTGTGATTTCTGGATAAACATTCAAACATTTTGGCAGCGCATTCATTTAAATAGCGAAACGTTTTTATTATGCTAATGTGACTCCAAATATTTTCCCCCCCTTTTCCACATCTTTAGTTGAGTATAAATATTTTCTTGCATTTTTCCAGAAGTATGAGAATATTTTTAGAGTTATGCGTTACAATAACAAATAATGAAAGTCAATTGAAGCGGCACAATCTCTTACTTATTCTATTAGTGAGTTTTAGTCAACTACTACTACTTGTATTAGAAATATTTTGATGTAAGTAAAAACAATAAATTACAATTTATGTGTTAGCATTGTAGTAGAGATGCCTTGGCGTCAAAATAAGAAAAAGAATTAAAATTTAAGACAAATATCTCAGCAAGAACACAGAAGCCGCTTTTCCGGAGTCTGGTATTCTGGTATTCTTCTCTTCTAATCTAATCAAAGGAGTAATTTTCTTGAGTAAAAATTTACATAATTTCCACCTTAAAAAGTTATCATAAAATTTAATAATTGTCTAACCTAGGACAGATCTTAAATAGAGATTAAAGATTTAAAAACAAAAAGTGTAGGGAACGGAATCAGAATGAATCATTTCCTTGATAACTAATTTCCAAAATTGCTCCAACTCTTAAGGTATAGTTAATGGAAAAATGAAGGTGACCAAGGCAACCAACCTATAGCCATATTATTCATTCTGATTATAAATGTGAGGTCAATGCTATGTAAATTCTTTCAAATTCAATGACTTCCAAAGTTTCCATTTGGTCAGTTTTAAAGCTTGTTATCATTTGACTTTATCAATATATAAGTACATATTAAGAAGCTGAGTAACTTAGTCCCAAACATGTAAGCTTCGCCTTAAATGGACTATCTTGCTATTTAATACAAATAAATTACCAGCTATAGTAGCAGCATAGATTTTTAAAGTACTAGGAATAAGTTTATCTTATAAAAAAAAACTTCTTGAATTTAAGCTCACCTACTCATGAGCAGCACCATAAATATATCACTTTTTCACATAGACATCAATATACTATGTACATAAAACTTAATGTTTCACTCAAGGGGGAGGCAGGCAGGCAGGCAACCTTTCGCTCAAGGCCATAAGAGCAACGCGAAATTCAAACAAATGGCACAAATAATTTATGGCATTCACTTCATTGAATATTCATAAACTTAAATCTGGCAAAGACGCTCTTGCGCGGCTTCAATTCATCTAACTAATTGGCGCTATTAAATCGCAAGATAGACGAGACCACATACTGGTCGACGGCGCTCCTGGCAACTGGCAGAAAAGAAATCCAAATGAATAATATATATATAAAAAAAAAACACCAACTACATAAGAAAAGTTGCCAAGGCGCTGCATATGTAGGTCATACCAACCCCGTCAGGCTTAAAAGGAATCTCGCTGCCATCGACGCCCACCCGAGGAGAGGCGGCAGGCAGTTCCTCTGAAGGAAATGTGAAATGAATCAAAAGGCGCACTATATGCTGGCAATTTCGATTCTAGGGAAAATAGCATAAAATGGCATAAAGGAAGCTGAAACTATGCTCAATGGCTTCCATCGAGCATTGAAATTTGTCGCAACAAATGAGCAAAAACCTACGAATGGAAATTTAATACATGGCCCGCGCAATTGTCGCCAAGGATATTGCAACAGAACCAGCAAAAGGAAAAAAAAAAATGGAATGTTCCGCATGTGTGATTGTATGACCGTGTTAGTGTGGGCGCCTTTTGTGCACAATTAATGTGCACTGAGCGTAAATGTGGGCCCAATTTGTTGCCAGGCAAAATCCATCTGCAAATGTAGTATGTATGTGCCTATTACAAAATTGACCCAGTTATGCAGAACTAGTTGGAGCTACTGCTTCTTCCATTTCTGCTTGTTTGCCAATTACAATTATTAGAGCACAATTCATACGAGTATTTATTACCCAGAAGCAGGCCGGGGCGACGACAACGCAAACGATAGGACGTGGAAGGAGGGGAGACCAACCGAGCCACTGAATCATTTCTTTATAATTTATATGAGTAATTGTTGCCAGGGGAGGGCGGGGGTAGACGGCACAGCACTAAAATATATTAAATCTGTGCGCTCGTTTCATTTCAGTTTCATATTCATGACTTTTTTTCCCAGCTCCGGGTGTGTGTGCGCGTCTTTATCAGCATTGATTCACCACCCCCCAACCACCCCCAACCAAGCCCAGTCTGATAGAGACACTGAAGATGATATGTTCTGTACAGAGAGGCGTATTTATAGCACAGCACAGTATAGCCTCATCGCTTGTCATCGCATCAAATATGCATATTTCATTGGGCCATTTGCGAGGCTTATGGAGCGCATGGAGCGCATACCCGTATAGCGACACAATCGGGGGGGCTGCCCCCACGAAATTGTGACATGTGGCGCTAAGTGCGTCTAATGTAGGTCGCACTCGAGCTCAAACAAGACGAGACTTAGACGAGTGCTGTAATATTTACACTGGAAATCTAGTGCGCTCTCAACCTGCAAAACAGCAACCAAAGGAGGCGCTCAAATGCAATACAAAAGGCGCCTATCGATATGCAACTAATTCTAGATACAAGTATGTATAGTACTTATATACAAGGATGTACTTTTATCAGAAAACATCATACTACTGCTTCCTTCTGGTCTATTCCTCTGTGCATAAGAAACATATAAATATAAAAATTAAAAAAAAAAATCAAATCAAAGTTGTAATAATTACTTCCTCCAATGCATCGACATTGTGGCTGTGTGTGTCTATGCGTGACGGTGTATTTGTGTATGTGTGCAGTATAGAGTTGAGTTCAAACACCACCAAAGACTATAGTTATGGCTACAACTTCCTTTATATTTGGGCTATCATGATAAAACCTAACATGAGAATTGCCAAATTGAGTTTGAAATTCGCAGAATTACAGGAGTTATGGAAAATCTCTAATCACGGGGGAGTAGGAGGATGATTTCGAAATAAACTTGTAATGCTCATATAAGGCATCTGTATAATATTTTCCAGCTGTTCATACGAACGGACTGATGTACAAATAGTCATCTTTGCACAAACCTAGTATACTGTTGTTCCTTTCAGGGGCAGAGTATTAATAACCATTTCTTGTGGCGCCACACATTCGGTCTGCAAAAGC